GACAAATGCTGTGATTCTTGTAACACTGGCTGCCGGACACTTCCTAAAAATTTAAAGTTACTTTACTTTCTTCAGGTCAATTTCTGGAGCAGTTCAAGCTTAGAGTTCAATGGTGACGTCGAGTGCAGAAGAGGAAATAGCTGAGGGGGCATCATGTGGTAGAGCTGGGAGCTTCAGTTCACAGATACTGAGGGGATGTTGTGGTTTCAACTGTAAAAAGAACTAAGGCACAAAACATGCTTTTAAATGCAACAGTAACATGTTGTGCCCTCCCTGATTTTTAGATTTAATGCAGAATAAAGTCAGAAATTCGGAACTTGGAAATAACCACATCACAAACTTAAAGCTCAGATTTCATAAATGGGAACTGTGTGATGTTTGTCTTCATTGCACAATGACCCATACCATTGCATAATGGTTGGGCTGTGCTGGGACTTGCAGGTACCAGCTGCAGGAGCTACAGTAGAGCTAGTTTAGATACTTGGACATTTATTTTAAAGCATTATTTCAATTAACTGTAATGTTGGTGGTCACAGGACACAAAAATTGCATGTATGGAATCTCCAGGCAAATCTGATCAAAACTGCTTAAAACGTTTGGTGACTTTCATCTGAAATAAGGATTGGAAGGATTTGATTTTTATTACTGCTGCTGAATTACTCATGCATTTAAATTCAGGATTGTTTGAGTGCCACGTCTCGCTCTTATAATGTCTCTGACCTGAACACAGTGTACTGTGCTTTATAAAAGCTCCTCATTGTGCTGTCTGGTTCTCACAAACCTCTTCTATGCTCAGCAGTGTGCACTTTGCTGTCTGCCACATATGCATATAAGCCTGAAATAACTGATATGCTGGCTTGTTACTGATGATTTTTGTAAAATAAGTGCATTACTTAGTGGCAGTCTTTAAGTCAGCCTACGACAGTAATACAAATCCAATTATTGTTTCTTTTAGGACTTTAAATATAAATGTGATAAAGCCATACAGCTGAGTAGACACTCTGGTTCATAGGTTGCCTTAAATTGCCTTAAATTTCATTTAACTTATTATAGTTTTGTATTTTCTAATTGGTTTTTAATTTTATTTTCACTTTGTTTTTAATTCAGTTTAAGTTCCAGCGTAGTTTTCCTGTTTCAAATTAGTTTTTGTCACAAAATGTTTAGTTTTATTCGTGTAAGTTTTTCTTTTTAATTATATTACGGAGGGTAAATGTCAGAAGTAAGATTTCGGAGCATCAGTACAAGTATTAAAGTAAGAACACAGAACCTTTTGAAAGCTGATGACTCACAGTCTTGGAGACATCTAGAAACTCAATAAACGCGTGCCTCAGCAGGCTTGTTGTAATACAGTTTTTGCCAAAGTAACAGATCCTAAAACTACAGATGTGTCCTATAAAATGTTTTTTCACATCTAATTATTTTTGGTTAACTACATTAACCTTGCTCTGGGGAACCCTTCCAAACAAGAACCACACTTGTTCAGCTTTTTCTGATCGGACCATAATGATCTGTAACATTTAACATGCTAACTGAGGCCTCTGGTCTCTTAGATTTCAAGTTTCTCAGAGCATTGCAGAGTCAGTCCTTGGGCAGGACCTCGTTGGGACATTTCACTACTGGGAAGATTGGTAAATGTCTTGACCGTATTCCCACTTGTGAGTAATCTCTCACTGTAAAATGACAGACTTTTTTGGGGACATTGCCTTTATGTATTTTCCCTGCTAGCTCAAATCACATAAATATCTTCTGTGTTTACCTGGTTTCAGTCATGAGAGTTGGACCATGAAGCGTATCTGAAATCGTGCTACTTTTATGCATTTTGTTTGCTGAAATGTGATGTCGTTTACAAATCTGCTTCAGTAGCTCAGATGCATTTTAGCAGCAATTTTCAAAATGGTCAAAATGCATTTTTCTGCACCTTAAGGACATCACCATTGTGGATGTTTTTCATCATTTTTAGGAATTATTTGTTATTGGGGGATGAAAAAAAAACAAGAACAGCCAACGATGGCTTAAGAGTTACCAAACACCTTCCTCTGCTTACTTTACATTAATTATTAAAGAACAAGTAATGCCTCTCCTTCTGTTTATAAGATTGAGGAAACCTGCAGTCAGCTGAGACTGAAGAAGTCACTTGGATGAGTGACGAAGTGTTTCTCCCACTGAAAACGCTATGTCCACATGAACAGAATCAACTTTTGGAGATTCCTCTCCTTCTGTTCACATGGAGATGACATGTCCAATGTAACTCCTGAAATCTACACATATGCTTAAGCAGGCGCCGCAGTCAAGCTCCACAAACAAGGAGACATTTTTGACAACTTAACCAAAACAAAAATATATATACACAAAACAGACACGGACAAAACATCTGTCACACATATTTATTGTAAAAAATACATATAAAAACAATTTGAGACATACAAAAGATCGGAGCTTAGAAACAGTATATTGAACAGACAAGGACCAAGCAATTTTCTTGAATTGTATTACATATTTACAATTTAATAAATAAAACTCAATTTGTTTGTTTTATACCAGAGTAAAGGCAGATTGTCCATATCTTGGGGCTGCAGATACCGCTGTGGTGACATTTTAAACATCGGTCTGTAATCACAGGGCAGGCAGGGAAATGGCGCCCTGTGATTCGAAACCAAAGACTTGAGAATATTTATACAAAATACATCCTTGGTTGGAGAGGGGCTAGTTTGCACACAGAGCATTTAGCTAGCATTGGTAAAAATTTGAGGTATTGCACCGCACAGCTTAGAGGGGGTTAAGGAAGTAAATCAAGAGTAACGTGGCGGTTTTGGATTGTCTGTAATCTTTATTGACAACCCAACTGCCACCAACACCCCTCTGAACACACACACACACACACACACACACACACACACACACACACACACAAACACCCCCCCTTAAAACCCTCCCAGCCAAAGTATACAATATCATAACTTATCACCACGACAAATGTAATCTGAACATCTAAATGATCAATGCGCCTCCTCTTCTGCCCTGTCCCCCACAACAACACAGACCTAAATGCACAAACAAACTATTTTTGGCTTTATTTTTCTTTTCTCCAATACAAAATAAGAGAAACATGCACAAGGCTGCCCTCTAATGACGGGACAGGTTATAGCACCGCAGACTGCAGAACATTGGGGTGGGGGGAGACAGAAAAGACCAACAGAGGCTGGGGTGAACAAACCTGTGAGCATGGCTCACCTCTTGGCCAACCTCTAAACCGCCCCACACCACTGCAGCGCTGAAAGGTAAACACCTTTAGAGCAGGCAGCAAAAGCAATCAGTTACAATATATTTTTTGTTCTTACTGCTAGAGTTTCCACTGGCCTACGTACGACCTGTATCAGGCAGCATCTGTTGAGCAGCCTTACTGTTTCGGCTTCCACTTCAGCTCAGCCCCCAAAAACGACACCACAAATACCTCTTTGCACAAGAACCCCTTCACCAGGCAAAAGGCAATCAACACACACACACAAAAAGAAAGGCCAAGGATAGCCATTTAACACATTTAGCAACAAACATGAGCATTGTGATAATAAAATAGCCTAAATAAAAAAAAAACAAAAAAAAAAACAAGGGGAATTGGGGGGGGGGGGGGGGGGGGGGGCTGCTTATGTAATAATTAACCATCAGCTGTCCGTAGCCTCCAGTGTTATGGATCGAGGCAGATACCACATGGTGTACACTTGCTCCAAAAATACATCTGTCCCTTTATCTCCCCTCGATCTGGCATTTGTGTAACCAGATGGCGAAACTGTTGCGTGGTCCAAAAGCAGAGAGAAAGAATCCAAATTACACCCCAGAGGACAGAGGAGGCAGGGGACAAAAACTCAAAACAGCTTTCAAAGTAGAAGTTTCGACCATGTGAGCCACCATGTTGCGTACCAAATACAACATTAAACAGGAAGGATGTTGAATGCAGTTAAGCCGGTTCACCAAGCAGACTTCTGGGCAATTTACAGTACACACACACACACACACACACACACTTACAGTCGTGCTCAGGACATAGTCTGTCCCTGGTTGTTATCTAAACGTGCACACGCATACAAACACACAAACAATCTTATCCTGGATCTTATGGTTTAAACTAAAACAAGCCTGAAGGACAAAAGTGCACAAGTTGGTGCAAACACCAGCGCTACTATGGCCCTATAAAATACCTACAAACCCTCCTCAACGCTCACCAAGTAGCAGCACATTAAACCCACCGCTATTCAACCACCTACAAGTCTGACCTACCAAAAAAAAAAAAAAAAAAGACTTATTTTTCCACTCCCCAAACAGTTAGGCCCCCAAACATCCCCTGAAATGTTTACATGTAACAGGAGAGGAAAAACAAAAAAACCCAACACCTAATGACGGCAGCCCCCACTCACCAAATACAAGTCCTCAACCTCCAGCTCAATCAAAATAAAGCAATGTTTACATAGTAACAGTTTGCGCTTTCAGTGTGAGGTTGGTTCATTTATGGGGTGAGCCGAGAAAAGAAAACATTCATCCGATGTATGACATGGAACGATAATCGTTCTGTTTTGGATTTTGTCTTTTTTTTGCAAAACACTTGATAAAATAAACAATCCCGTTGGGAGGGAGAGAAAATACACAGGAGAGGATCCAGAGTCACAGTTAAGACCATTTTTTCTTTTCTTTTTTAGCACCCCCCTTCCCCCGCAGCCAGGTTTAAGTTCGTTCTAGGATGATAATATTTATACGTTCTGCAGTTTAAAGCCAAGTGCGCAGGATAGACGGATAAACGCTGTCGTTTCTGTTCCAACCGGGAGGGGATGTCTCGACCACGGATTTTTGAACTGTCGGGAGGAGTTTGGCTTGAAATGGTCAAGCTCAAAAGGGAGCGATCCCAGCAGAGAGCATCAGGTGTCTTCACGTGCAGCTTCCTCTTAGGATCGTCTGTTCTCCGCTCATGTATTTGTAGTCTGTGTCCAAGAGTGACAGTGGGCTTTCGTTTGTTCAATTACACATTTTTTATTGGGGATTTTTCGGATTCAGTGTAGTCTCCTGTGAGGGCAGAAAAAGACACGAAAGAAGAAGAAGAAGAAGAAGAAGAAGAAGAAAAAAAAAAGATTCATTAATACAGGCTGTGGGGACTGTGCTGAAAAACAGACTGCAGCAAAGACAGAAAAAATGTGAAAATTTATATCAATTCTATATCTTTTTTGTTGTTGTTTTTGGTGTTTTACAGAAACGATGTGGCCACAGGCAGAAGTTCTTTGTGCTGCCAGCATTTATTTTCTATTCAAACACTATTAAGTTCAGCACTGACGCAAAAAACTTTGAGGGTGCAGTTTCTCCCAACCCCACGCACCCACTCACACACACAGTGTTTTGTGAACACTGAGAAATCCAGAAACATCCATGTAGATGCTAAAAATGACAGTCTCAACATGGCATTTAATCTGTTAGACTCAATTGGCTTCTCTCAAACTGTAAAAGAACCCACCCACCACTTTAATCACACTCTAGATCTTGTGTTAACATGTGGTATAGAAACTGAACATTTAACAATGTTTCCTGAAAACCCTCTCCTGTCTGATCATTTCCTGATAACATTTAAATTTACAATAATTGATTACACAGCAGTGGAGAGTAGACTTTATCACAGTAGATGTCTTTCAAAAAGTGCTGTAACTAAGTTTAAGAATATAATCCACCCACTGCTATCATCTTCAATGCCCTGTACCAACACAGAGCAGAGCAGCTATCTGAACGCTGCTCCAACAGAGGTCGATTATCTTGTTAATAATTTTACCTCCTCACTACGTACGACTCTGGATACTGTAGCTCCTGTGAAAACTAAGGTCTCTAATCAGAAGTACCTGACTCCGTGGTATAATTCTCAAACACGTAGCCTAAAGCAGATGACTCGTAAGCTGGAGAGGAAATGGCGTGTCACAAATTTAGAGGATCATCATTTAGCCTGGAGAAATAGTTTGCTGCTTTATAAGAAAGCCCCCCACAAAGCCAGAACATCTTACTATTCATCACTGATTGAAGAAAATAAGAACAACCCCAGGTTTCTCTTCAGCACTGTAGCCAGGCTGACAAACAGTCAGAGCTCTGTTGAGCCAACAATCCCTTTAACGTTAACTAGTAATGACTTCATGAACTTCTTCACAAATAAAATTTTAATCATTAGAGAAAAAATTACCAATAACCATCCCACAGATGTAATATTATCTACAGCTACTCTTAGTACCATTGATGTTAAGTTAGTCTCTTTTTCTCCAGTTGATCTTTCTGAGTTAACTTCTATAATTACTTCCTCCAAACCATCAACGTGTCTTTTAGACCCCATTCCTACAAAACTGCTCAAAGAAGTCCTGCCATTAATTAATTCTTCGATCTTAAATATGATCAACCTATCTCTAATAATCGGCTATGTACCACAGGCCTTCAAGGTGGCTGTAGTTAAACCTTTACTCAAAAAGCCATCTCTAGACCCAGCAGTCTTAGCTAATTATAGGCCAATCTCCAACCTTCCTTTCATATCAAAAATCCTTGAAAGAGTAGTTGTCAAACAGCTAACAGATCATCTGCAGAGGAATGGCTTATTTGAAGAGTTTCAGTCAGGTTTCAGAGCTCATCACAGCACAGAAACAGCTTTAGTGAAGGTTACAAATGATCTTCTTATGGCCTCTGACAGTGGACTCATCTCTGTGCTTGTCCTGCTAGACCTTAGTGCAGCGTTCGATACCGTTGACCATAATATTCTTTTAGCACGATTAGAGCACGCTTTAGGTATTACAGGTACTGCGCTGCAGTGGTTTGTATCATATCTATCTAATAGACTCCAATTTGTTCATGTAAATGGAGAGTCCTCTTCACACACTGAGGTTAATTATGGAGTTCCACAGGGTCCAGTGCTAGGACCAATTCTGTTTACATTATACATGCTTCCCCTAGGCAGCATCATTAGAAGACATAGCATACATTTTCACTGCTATGCAGATGACACCCAGCTCTATCTATCTATGAAGCCAGATAACACACACCAATTAGTTAAACTGCAGGAATGTCTTAAAGACATAAAGACCTGGATGGCCGCTAACTTTCTGCTTCTTAATTCAGATAAAACTGAGGTTATTATACTCGGCCCTGAAAAGCCTAGAAATATGGTATCTAACCAGATTCTTACTCTGGATGGCATTACCTTGGCCTCCAGTAACGCTGTGAGGAACCTTGGAGTTATTTTTGACCAAGACATGTCCTTCAATGCGCATATTTAACAAATATGTAAGATTGCTTTCTTCCATTTGCGCAACATCTCCAAAATTTGAAATATCCTGTCTCAGAGTGACGCTGAAAAGCTAGTTCATGCATTTATTACTTCCAGACTGGACTACTGTAATTCATTATTATCAGGATGTCCTAAAAACTCCCTGAAAAGCCTTCAGCTAATCCAAAATGCTGCAGCAAGAGTGCTGACAAGGACTAGAAAGAGAGAGCATATTTCTCCTGTTTTGGCTTCCCTTCATTGGCTTCCTGTTAAATCCAGAATTGAATTCAAAATCCTGCTCCTCACATACAATGTCTTAAATAATCAGGCCCCATCTTAGCTTAATGACCTTGTAGTACCATATCACCCCATTAGAGCACTTCGCTCTCGCACTGCAGGCCTATTGTTGTTCCTAGAGTATTTAAATGTTGAATGGGAGGGAGAGCCTTCAGTTTTCAGGCTCCTCTTCTGTGGAACCAGCTTCCAGCTTGGATTCGGGAGACAGACACTATCTCTACTTTCAAGATTAGGCTTAAAACTTTCCTTTTTGCTAAAGCATATAGTTAGGGCTGGACCAGGTGACCCTGAATCCTCCCTTAGTTATGCTGCAATAGATGTAGGCTGCTGGGGGATTCCCATGATGCATTGAGTTTTTCCTTTCCAGTCACCTTTCTCACTCACTATGTGTTAATAGACCTCTCTGCATTGAATCATATCTGTTATTAATCTCTGACTCTTAGAAATATGGTATCTAAGCAGCATGCGTTTCATCATCACCCCAACTGGTCACAGCAGATGGCCCCGCCCCTCCCTGAGCCTGGTTCTGCCGGAGGTTTCTTCCTGTTAAAAGGGAGTTTTTCCTTCCCAAAGTGCTTGCTCATAGGGGGTCATATGATTGTTGGGTTTTTCCTCTGTATCTACTGTACAATATAAAGCGGCTTGAGGAGACTGCTGTTGTGATTTGGCGCTATATAAATAAAATTGAATTGAATAAAACAAACTGTTTCTTTCAATCTGATTATTCTGTTTTAGAAAGCAGGATTAACCAGGGTATGCTGGGCATTGTCTGATGACTTATTGAGCTCATCTTGAGGTCTCAAAATAGAACCCATAAAAAAAATGTTTTAAAAAAAAAAAATTGTTCCTTTCATCTTTTATATTCTCTATGGCTCAGACGCTAACGCTAAACTAAAAGATTCACATTGCATTTCTTTACTTTTCTGAAAAGTACAACTAATAAATCCATCTTGAAAAACACATTTTGATGAACAGTAAATAAATCTATAACACATCCACTGGGAAATTAATGTGCATACCAGACTAGCATTTTACAGACATTGTTGGCATTTATCACACACAATAGCTAATCAAGAAAGCAATCACTGGATCCGTCAATAATGGCATAATTAACAGTCGCAGCTCTTTGTCTTGCATCAATTTCACACTCAAGGTGGGGGCCTGTTTCCCTCCAGAAAACAAATCTAACCACACATTTTATTTTTTTAAACAACTTGCCAACAACTCGTGGATACTGGCACTCTTATTTGGTGCTGGCTTTGTTGTGGCAATGTCTCACTTCCTGTTCCCGTTGCAACGCACCGCGGTGCTTATCTGTAGTTTAATCTGTAGCTTGGTTAATTACAAGCATGCACAAAGCGACTTATTTCATTGTGTAACCTACACGTGGGTTATCGGAGCACACTTTCTGCAAATTAAATTTACAGCTTAATGTGTCGTCAGGGGTTTGAAGGGCTTGTAGTTCTCCGTCTCACCAGCACTTTCCTGCTCAGTGTAGCCAATGTTTAGTTACACCTAAGCCTCCTTTAGTGCTAATAGGACTCATAATAAATGTCGTTCTTTCATAGCTTTGAAGGTCTGGTTCTTCAAAAACACAATTGCTGATGCAAAAAAATCCACCAGCTCGGCTGTAGTACTGGCAACATTTTAAATGACTGTGTGACCTAAATACATTACACTTAATAATTGTAGTTATGCGTAATTTAGTGTACCACAATTGTGTCAATTTGCGTATGCATCCCCTAGGGGGGTGCAAACATTCTCCACTGCAGTCCTCCAAAATCCCAAATGCATGCTGCTGGACACGGATGACGCCGTGCATTGGTAGAAAGCTGAGTGGTTGGTAAGAGGGCCAGAACAGGGAAGGGAGCAACAGCAGAGTTAACCACGAAAGTGAGAGGCATTGTCTTCAAATTCAAAGAGCTGAAGTGAAACAGTCTGTTATAAATTTGCTTTTCTCCACAGCTCGCTGATGGACCAACGGTAGCACAAACAGGGGAAATCCACAGACTGGTTGTGCCACATACATCACATGCTGCCCCTATTGAAACCAGGCGCTCTGTGCAAGTAGGCACTCCGGATTGCACACACGCTACCACTGCTGAACCATAATGTCACCATTACTCTTCACTGCAGGCAGTACTAGCTGCACGTTTTGGTCATTTATCAGGTCAGCAGTGCACGTACCTGAGTCAGGTTGGTCACGGCGTGGGATACATGTGACCCCATGAGTCAATCAAAGGGATGTTCAGGGCAGCAAGGCTTCACCTTTGACCAGGAATCAATGCAGCTGCAGGGAGACAGAGCACACTGAGAATGTGGAGACACCAAGACGATATACTTGAATCAACTCATGTGAATGTGGGAGAAGCTCGAAGGTCTGCCTGTGGTTGTAGCGTCTCCCACAAGGCCTAATCCACTCACAGGAGGTGTGAAACCAAAATAAAAGGGTAAACATTCAGCAGTTAATCCTTTAAGGCCTCGTTGACTCCCTGAATACAAATGGAGCAGAGATAAGACGCCTGAAGACCTCGGGGCCTCTTTTGGCTGTTTGCCTTTGTCTTTTTGTTTTGAGTTGCAAAAGTCTGTTAGGAGTTTTTCCCCCCCTTAAGTTAATGGCCTCTTTACTTTTAACTCGTGCCCTCACCTCATGTTTTTCAGATGGTAATGACTTTTATTTTTATTGGCTTTAAGTCACTAATCTGGAGCTGAGACAAGCAGTCGATACTTAATGAGCCTGGATGGGAGAAAAAAAAAAAAAGAAAAAAAATGGTGTGGGGGGGAAAGCATTTACCAGCAGGAGATTTTAGGTTGTGCTCCTTTCTCTCTCCTTTTTTTGGATAATTAAACTGAATGTTTTGGGTGATGCTACTACTAAAACAAAATTAAGTAATTGCATTGAGCGTTGGGTAAACACATTGAATAATGAAAACCGGTGTAAGATTAATCAACAGTAAAAAATAAAATACTTGTATAGTCTTGTATAAACTGTTTAAAATGATTGATAAGAAACTCAATCAATACAAGTAGTTTTATATAAGACACACACGATGTATTCACATAAGTAACCGACTGACTTTCTTTATTCAGTAGAAATAGTCAATGATTTTGGGTCTGTTAGCAGTGTAGCTAGTAAAGCACAAAACAACATTATGGCAGATTGTCCTCATATACCTCAGACCTGATTAGTGATCCTATTCGTCTCCCGGCTTGTGACCGGCTCTAGCAGCGCGTTCCGTTTGAAGTTAGAAATTTTCAAACGTAGAAAGCCGGAGCAGCCTCACCGACCCAGACTTAACAATCCGAGATGGCAGCAGCAGTGCATGTAAACATTCATAAAACTGCAAAACTTGCAATCTGTACAACTAATGTACATTTGTTATTCACCAAATGAGCCACACGCAAAGCACTGACCAGACTCCATCCATGACTGTGCTTACAGTGTTTTTAGTCCTGCGCTCTACTTTTAGTGATGCATAAAGGCCTGCCTTACTAAGGAGCAAAACAAATCCCACTCAAAACGCTACGTCCAGATGAACAGAATCAACTTTTGGAGAACTAATTATGTTATCTGAAATTTTTTTAAAAGTTATAAAAAATACAGCAGGCTGGATCTTGAGTGATCGATTACCTAATCTTGGTAAATCGGCTGTACTGAGATTAAGGGGAAATCAGTGGCTTCTTGGAAGCTGGGCAAAAATCAAGTGATGAACATTACAGTTTGTTTTAAACTGTCAATGTGGGGTTTTTTTTGTTTTTTAAATAAATTGGCTGAAACATACAAAATACAGGATCACAGTAAAAAAAAAAAAAAAATCTCCTAGAAATGTCATTAATTCCTTGGAAGTTACAAAAAAATAAAGCGTTGAACATTACAGCACGTTTTAAAAATGTCAAATGGGCTGAAACACATTATGAAAGTTGATAGTCATTTAGTTTTTTCCTAGAAATGTCATTGCCACTTAGAAAACACTGTGCTCACATCTGTGCTCACATCTGTCAAATTAAAATGCAATAATCCTGCATGTGTTTTCACAGTTGTTAAAGCTCTTACTGAAAAAATATTTAAAGTCTTCCCTTTTTTTCTGTCACATATTTATAATGGAGGATGCTCTTATTAAACGTGGCCAAAGTTTAAATGAATTAAATACATACAGCAGGAAATGAGCATAATAATAAGTCAAAATAATGTGAACACATGTTTGGCTTTAATCCATTTTATCTCAAATTTCAAAACAAGGCTTCCCAATTCCATCACTTTAGCAAAGATTACAGAGTTGAGTCTGGCACATCCTATCTGGGACATGAGCAACCGATCTGTAATTCTCAGAAAAGTGTAGCTCTATATACGATACACACTAGTACAGAACAACTTTTGCATCCTTGTTTCAGATAGATGTCAGCTCTGGAAACCACCACATTTGCCCAGTGAGTTTACTTTTAATGTCACGTTTTGTCCCAAACGAAGAAACAAGCTTATCTGCCCTACATTTTATTTTAATTTCATTCATACCTCTTGTGGTAGACACAGAGGCAGGCCAGTCTGGCGATGGTCTCTCCCTGTACCAAATCCTCCAAACAGATGGAACACTCTCCACTGTCTTTACTGAGCACATCCGCTGTAAATGCACAAACACACAAATCAACAATCAGGGTTTTTCCAGGCTAAAAATGGCCCTCTGGGGAATGGCAATGCATGTAACCAGTCCATATATAGCAAAGGCAATGAGTCTACAGAAGTCTGAATGTTCCTCTTATTATGTTCAGTTTGATGAAAAAAAGTTTTTTGACTTGATTATATTAAAGCCTACTTAAAAATAAAGTGTTGCTCATATTTTTGTCAGAGACTTTGTGATCTTCTCTTCTGGAAAGTTCAAAGGGCACTTTGATGAGTGCCAGAATGTGTTTTTTTTATGCATAGGAAAAAACCCTGACATTAAGTCACCAGCCTTTTAATAAACACAGCTGTAGGAGTATTTTAGTGGCACGATACTTACTGTTGTAAGGTAGAGGAGGAGATGTGAGGCAACTCAACAGGTGATCCTCAATCCGACCCCCCGGGAAAGGCTTTGAGCAGAAAGGACAGCGGATATCTGTAGAGGGCACAGACACAACAGACCCAAGATTAACACTGTGTGTCACAGCACGATATAAATGATAGATGATGCGCGCTGAGCACAAGTGCTGTGTTTGGACATCTAGGTTGCACAAGCTGAAACCGCAAACCAAAGAGCAGCCTGAAACACACATGCTAAATGAGGCGTTCCCATGCCTGAGATGGTGAGAAAGACGTTGCCCTGAGTGTAACTGACCTGAAATAACGTTATTTGACTGTACTCACTGCTCAAAACACTGACTCAGTCTTGAGGGATGGCCACTGCTCGAGCCATTCGTAGATAGGAGAGCCAGGCAGAAACAGTGCCTCGCTGCCCTACATTTGCCTCCTCCATCTATGATTCGCTGCCAGCAGTGAGCAGGCATGTGCAGTTGTGACCCATTTCCCTACACTTGCTAGAGGGCTGGCCTGGGAAATCCACCACACTGCTCTGTGTTGGCTCAAAATGTCACGCTTGCCGTCACATCTCCACCATCTCTATTCATCTGATTATCTAATGCAGGCCGAGACAAGTGCAAAATTTTTTTTAGCTTCCTCTGCACACTAATGTTCCAATTTTAATGCAAGTTATTTAAAAAAAAAAAAAAAAAAAAAAAAAAAAAAGGCAGTTTGTTGCTTAAGACTTTCATGCTGCAGGATTTACCACGGACAGCCACTGTCAGCAGGCCTTGTGAACTGAATGGACTTGTATATCATCACTTCCAGTTTTATGCCACAGGTCTGCTTCATACAATAGGTCCTCTGATTATTTTAGTCAGCATGCGAGCAGGGGAAAAAAAAAAAGATTATCTGTCCAAGAATGTAAATTCCTCAGCAAATCCATTTAATTCCAGACTGGCTTGATTGAGGGTTGCACTGTGGCATTTATGATGTCGTTATATCCAAAAAACATGTCTTTTACTTAAGGATGCAACAGTTGCATTTTTCTCTTAGTCAAGGTTTTAATAGCCCTGTGTTATTATTTTGTCTGACTTCAGATTAACATCAGCTGTCTAATGAAAGCACAGTCAACCCCCACATTTTCCCCCCTTCTCCTCAGGTATTGCGCAATCTTTTCCCGTCATCTTCAAGCTCCAACACATCCATGGATTTTATGTAGCTTCTGTGGAAAAACGCCTAGCTGTATGCAAGCCAAACCACAATTACTGGTGCAGACCAGCCCCGTTACTAAGGAAATGTCATTTATGTGGCGCAAATGCTAAAGATTGTATTTTTAAAAATATATATACATATCTATCTGGTGCTGTTTAGATGTTAACTTACTGCCGTGGCGATTGTTCAAACGGTAAAGGCCGATCCAAGCCTCTGACACCGGCCGCTGGTGTGTGCTTCGAACACGGGCGGACCTTGCGCCAACACGGGTGGCAGAGTGCCGATTCCCGGGCAGCCGCTCGGAAAAGGTGCGGTGTGGTGTGCGGCCTGTCTCCTCAACCTGCTGGTGTTCTGCGTCGACGGGAGCCTCTGGGCTAACATTGCCGTCTTCCTCGGGTTTCCCCTCGCTGCTGTCGTCGTCCCCGGGTGACGCCTGGCCAATGCTAGAGGGGATGCTGTGGTGGTCAGCAGGGCTGCCGTCCGCGCTCGCTCCGAGCTGCCCCGGGTCCGAGTCACTACCCTCCTCCGATCGGCTTCGGTTAGCCTCAGTGTCATCGAAGCTCACCGAAAAGTCGACAACGAGGCTGGTGGGCCTCGTGCAGCGAGGTCGCCGACAGGAATCCCGCTTTGTCCCATCTTTCCCGAAAGCTGAGGAAACCGTGTCTTCGTGTAGGCGACTCGTTCTCGTCCCCATCTCTGGTAGGCTAATTGAGCTGGCTAGCCGCGCTGCTTCCTCAAAACAAACTACCACAGAACGAGGTGGACGGATTAACTTCGAAACGACCCGTAATATGGTAAAATACTCGGATGGACAGTTTAAATAATCCCAACTGCCCAGTAACGTGGCCTTGTGAAAGGAGTAGTTGAAGTTCGACGTGTCTCCTCCGGCCTCAGTTCGTCCTCACTATCCACATTTTCCTTTCTTTTTTGATGTACCCGTTCTGGCTGCTGCAGCGGAAATAGAGCGTTTGCGTTTCCTCTTTGTGCCTCAGTCCGGCATTTACGGTAACTTCATCATCCATAATGACTTTATTATTTGAACATTAAACAGCTTAGATATGTTTTATGGTGTTATATGTTTATCTAAGATTATTATCTTTTTCAAATAAATATATCTGAATTTATTGCGCGTGACAGTTGTTCTTTTCTGGTCGACACCCATATGTCCGGTATTACGGTAAAAAAAAAAAAATCGTATTACGAACACAGTATTCTGACCAATCACTGGTCTTTTGATAGCCGGCTGACAGGACAGGTGTTTGTATGACAGCCGTTTACAGGAAATCAGTGGTTACTCTTGACTTGAAGGGGCTTCGAAACAGAAAATAACGTCTGACGGAAACGTTGTATATCAAACTCTCTACCCACGGAGTTGAAATTGTGGGTTTTGCGGTGAGTTTCCTGTGTCTAGCAATCGTCCTTGTAGCTAACCACGCCTATGAAAACTTGAGTCACTGCAAAGAACGAAACATTTGCTCCCATATTGAATTCAGCTGCAAATGTTGTGCTGTGTTTGCATTTGGCAGTTCATTCATTGCAGCTAATGTTCTTTCCGTATAACTTATATCAGTGTTTGTTTTATTTCTGACTTTGGTGGCTGATTTTACTGCCCTTATTCTTGTTGTTTACACATGGATAATTGTCAAATCGATGACATAACATGAGTTGTTGTTTTTGTTTTGTTTGTTTTTTTTTAATCCAAAACAAACTCTGGAGATCACCGCACCAAGTTTAAACGTCGTAGTCCCAATTATGTGTCAGTTTAGCAAGTTTTACTTTAGTTTCGAGCTGCGTTTGCGGTCTGCTTCAAGGCCCATTTATATTTGTATTTATATTTGACAGATTTATATTTGTTCACATTTCTGTATGTTATTCATGCATTATTCTGTATGTTTCCCAATGACACTATCTACAGTCTGTTGGGCATCATGTTTTCAGACTTTGTTCCTGTAATATGGTTCACGCCCTTAGATACAATAAAACAGTGCTTGTTCAAACAGTAGAAGGAATCCTGCCACTCAATACTCTGTGCTCTCTAGGATTATATGGCTTGTGACTGAGAGGAGAGGAGTGGCTTTTGACATTCTGATCTCTTTTTCTGCAGATGAGTGCTCTGACTTTGCAGTCAGCAAGCCTGGCCCCAGGAGTGCAGAAGCAGCAGCAGGCAACATGTGGGAGAAGTTTGACTTCAAATTATTCTCCCCCAAGTCTGGAGAATAAGTTCTTAGCTCAAACCTCCACAATAATGCCCCAGCTTTCCTCCCCACTCATAGATTTTGCAGCACAGCCTTCCTCTTGCTCCTCTCTCCAACCCTCCAAACTATCTTCCACCTCATCCTCCCTTCTCTCCACTTCTTCCTTTGCAGCCTCCTTCACTTCTCCCCTCCTAAGCACCCAGAACAAGCTCCTAGACAGTAACTTATCTCATCATTCTTTTCCCTTGACCTCCTCAGTCCCTAATGACTCTTTGCTCCCCACATCCCTGGCCAGTGGTGCTCTACTCACTAACTTTGCTCAAACTCCTTCATTCTTCCACCATGATCTCATGAGTAAAGAAGAGAAAAGGGATGATGGAGGGGATCCAGATGAAAGATATGAGATATCTGAAGTGATGCCTTTCAGTTTTGAAGAAACAAGTGTGGTACATGAGATATTCCTCATTCCTCTTTAAACATAAAATCATAACACATCAAATTTTATTAAAACTTTTGTTGCATGTCATTTGTAATTTAATTTGTTCTGCACAAGCAGATTTCTGAGGATGAAGATAATGAGGCTGAAGAAATTGATGCTGAGAAAACTATGGACTTGCCTGTACTGGAAACAGAGTTGATGGAACAAGAATTTGAACAAACCGAGGTTGTCAGACAGGAGGAATTTGGAGAGGTCGAAAGAGGAAACGAGAAGGCCGAAGAGGAGCTGAAAGACAAAAAGGTTATAGAGAATAATTTATTTGTGTTGAACTCCTGGGTGCTGATTAAAGTGACTCCTTGTCTTTGTCTGTCCTTCAGTATTTCCTCTTGAACATTGTATGTTGCTCTCTGGTCAATGAGAGCACAGCTCCAGGCCAGAAGGACTGGGACTCAGAGGACAGTGTTTGGACCAGAATCACAAACCTGGCAAAGGATATTTCTGCCTATGACCCACAGTTTCTTCTGAAGGTATGCATGGGAACTAAATTTTTAATATTTTAACTCCACCAGCACTCCATTATCATGTCAATGTGGTAGAAAAGCAAATTAAAAAAAACAAAACAGATAAACACTCAACACCATGTGACAACGGGATAAATCTACTATGACTGCATATATCACAGGCAATATTAAATTGTTGCTCTGTTTCAGGAAAATATTGCCTGCACAAATGTGTTGTTATAAATGAGTGCATTAGTAGCTACATGCAAATTAGCTAACTCTTTTACAGTCTCCTCATGTAGGTCATGAGGAGATCTGCAAAGACTTTCCAGACCAATTAATTCCCACAAGCCTGTATTGTTGGTTGAATTTACGAATGTCTTTAGTTCAACCCAAGATAAAAAAAAATAACATGGTTTATCACAAGGTCACACAGCTTCCAACATGCAAATTGTCAGTTTGCATTAAGGTGTGCCCAACATGTAACAAGAGCTTTACTTTCTTGGATGTTCAGAATATTTTCATAGACTATTTCACTGTACTCATGCTAACTATTTAGAGCCAGAAATGATCCCATTTGGACAACAGGATAGAGCATTGAAATACCAACTAAAGGTAACAACCTGGTTTGCAAACTGCATCGAAAAACTGTACAGATAAGACTATACTGTTAGCATTCAGATGCTAAAATCAGACTGATCAAAACTGAAAAAGAAATATCCTCCTCCTACACCAGATCATCTGCCTCCATCTCACCCTGTCTCTAGCATCCCCCTCAGTCACACCAGCCCATGTCCTGCTTCACGTCATTCACAAATCTTACGGCAGCTGCTTATTGCACATCCTTGGTACACTGTATCTGCTATCCTTCTTCTTCACGTCCAGACTATCTCAGCTTTGCTTCTCTAACTTTGTCTTCAAATTGCTCAGCTCAGCTGATATACTCATCTCTAATCCTGTCCATCCCGGGCACTCCTCCTGTCTTTTTGTCAGTGGCACAGACTCCAAACCATACATCATAGTGGGTCTCACTGCCATCTTATAAATCTTGCTATCCTATTGACACAAACGACTCCTAACACTCATCTCTCCACCTACTGCACACTGCCTGCACTCTCTTCTTCACCTCTCTTGTGCACTGTACATTGCTTTGGATGGTTAAAGTCAGGTATTTAAACTCATCTACCTTGACCACTTCTTCTCCTTTCAGCTTCGCTGAACAAGCTGTATTATTAGTGAGATAATGTGATTAACAATGCTCAAAGTTCCAGCAGCAAAACATGGTAGAGCAGTCCAGTTCAGTGGCTTAAGTTAGCAGAGATAAGACTTAGAAGATGGCAGTCAGCTATAGCTGTCTATGTTTGCATACCTAACTGTAAGTCTTACCAATATATCTTCAAGATGAACTATGAACCCACTGAACACATGTTGTGTTTTAATCAGATAAGCCATAAAAAATTTCCCAAAGGGTCCAACAGGGTAAAAACAGTAGAAAATCCAGTTTAATCACTCATATCAGAGGTCGGGGATAGCACAATCAGTTTTAGCTGCCTGTCGATTAAATTAGCCACGTCCCTAACTCTATCAAAACGAGCGAGTTATAAAACAACAGCAACAAAAATATCACCCCTCTTAGAGTTGTTATGAAGAAGGAAATTACTCATAGAGACCAGAACCTACTTTTTAATGCTAATAGTTGAGCTTTTTTAGTGAGAGTGAATTGCTTCTGGAGCCAGGCTGAAGGGCTCATTGAGGGAACTGCAGTTTTGGGGGGGTTTTCCACTTTGGTGTTTGCTTAATTTTTCAGCCCTGATGCACACACATCAGGTATTCTCAAATAACCAATTTAAAGTGGTGCGTCATGAGAGTAAGCACAGCTAATGAATGGTACACATAATCATGTATGTCATATATTATATGGTCTGTCTGCTCCAATCTAGGTGGCACTTTACACTCGACAGAAGTTAAATATTCGGATCACTGCGAACTTCTTATTGGCTCTGGCTGCCAACCTGCCGCCCACCAAGCCACATGTCCGCAGATACTTCTGTGCTGCTGTACAGCTGCCGTCTGATTGGCTGGAAATAGTCAGAATCTACAGTACAGTAAGTCATAATGATTATCTGTTGTACGGTCTGGACGATCTGGATGTACCAAGTCTGTCTTCACACTACAATCTGATGTTTCCAGTGCTTCAGCCGCTCTCTGCCGATGTGCCTGAAGAAGGCGATGGCTGACAAGTTCAAGCAGTTCAGCGAGTATCAGCTGGCCAAATACAACACACGCAAGCACCGCTGTAAGCACAACCGCAACAAGCGCAAAGCAAAGGTACACATTCAGTGATTATGTTCTCTCCTAAACTTTTAAGGTCTCAATGTGGAAATTAAGGCCTAACCAAGTAATACTAATTTCACCACCTCTTTAGTGGGGAAAAAACTTTAGTACTAGAGATGAACACTTTGCTTTTATTGTTTTGTTTTTGTTCTGCCTCACTGACTCAACCAGAAAAAACTGCTTGTGGTTTCTGTGTTTGTGTAGCTGACTCTAAATTCACTTCTTATACATACATGCTTTAAATATCTGTA